CTCAGGAAGTGAATGCTGAGCTGGTGTGGTGGGTGGCACATCCAGGAACGTCAGGATGTCCTCTCTGTTCATACACTCTCTTGGTGTCAGTTCAGTGGCTCAAAGGAAGGGGTCAAAAATCACTCCAGTGGTGTTTCAGAGAGTGTAGGGCTATGGAGTCCATGTAAATAGAGACAGAATCCAAGGACACCATTGGTTGCTTTGTGAAAGAGAATCTATTATCCAGGATGTCTGCTTGCAGGACGAGGTTGGAGCACAAATGTGTGAATATATGCTGCTGCATAGTTTTATGTCAACTTGACACAAGCTAAAGTCATCTGAGAGGAGAGAACCAAAATTAAAAAAAATGCCTCCCGGCTTGGTCTACAGAGTAAATTCCAGGATAGCCAGGGCTACATAGAGCAACCTTGTCTCAAAAACAAAACAAAAGAAAACAAAAAGGAAAGAAAGAAAATGCCTCCAGAATATCCAGCTGTAGTCAAACCTGTAAGGCATTCAAAATTTTTAGTTATTGAGGAGAGAAAGCCCAGCCCATTGTGGATGGTTCCATCCCTGGGCTCCTGGCCATGGGTTCTATAAGAAAGCAGGTTGAGCAAACACGGAGGAGCAAGATAGTAAGCAGCACCCTTTCATGGCTTTCAAATCAGTTCCTGCTTCCAGGTTCCTGCCCATCATGAGTCCCTGTCATGACTTTCTTTGATGATGAACAGTGATATGAAAGTATAAGCCAAATAAACTCCTTCCTCTCCAACTTGTTTTTTGGTTATATTGTTTCATAACAGCAATAGAAACCGTAATTAAGACAAGGTGTTTGGGTTCATGCCTTTGGTGGTGCAACACTTCTGTTAGTTTTTTTGTAATTTAACTCAGTATAAGACATCGATCTGATCATATCCCAGTGACAGAGAAGTAGAGACCACAGCTTCCCATATGTTTTTTCCCCATAAGATAATATTATTTCTTTCAGCTGAACCATCAAGGAAGTGGGATAATGACTAAAAAGGAACGACCTTCTTAACTGGTGATTGTTTTGCAAGCCAGCAACACTCTGACCCTCTGTTTTGTAGGACATGTAATTTTATAGGTAAAGAAAGAATGCTTATAAATTTTTTCTAGAATCTAGATGTCTGTGGAGAGCATTTACCTGAACTGTCTTTATTTGTTCTTCTTTAGACATAGCCTTATGGGAGTTGTTTGGGCCCATAAAAGTTCAGGTGTCTACATAAAGTCTGGGGAGCACCTGTGTGGAGCACTGCATAGGTTCTGCTGTGTCTCCATCCAACCTCCCTCTCCATTTTTCTTTGGGATAGTACCTGATGTCTGGCTAGTTTCCTTCGTGGTTTCTGAATCTCAGTGTCATGTACTTCAAATCTCGTAGGGATGGGATGCACTATTCATAGCAAAACAGTGCATGGTGTATGTGGACTACCAGGAAAATCATGCATTCAGGATAAGTGGAGAGAGATAGTAGACTCCCAATTGGTTCTTTTACTGAAGTTTCTTCCTCAACCAGAAGCCACAAGACCCATAGGCTGTTTCTGCAGGCCATCATGACATCCAGGAATGCCAGCAACCCTGGTTGTGTCTCTTTATGTTGGGCACTGCTGAATTGCCTCGTGTTTGAGAAAATGGACCCTTTATTCTGTGGTGTCTGAAGGGGAGACTCCATCAATTTCCTGTTGAGATTGGAAGGTGGGGGTGATTTGAATTTTAGAGTTTGAAGTCTTAATTTTACTGTCAACTCAAGGGACTTTTCTGACTCGTACCAGCAAGCTCCTCAGGAAGAAAAGAGGCCTGGTGCTATGCTTTGACTGTGTCATGATTGGGAGTCCTACACTCCTCACTGTGGCAGGGTTGGAATGTGGAGCCAATGGCAGGGTTGGAGGTCAACAATGGAGCTATAATGTACGAACGATGCTACTCTCAGCAGTTCTCAATCTCATGAAACTGGATTCGTTGTCAGAATAGGCTGTATAAATCAAGTCCACCCTCAAGCTTGCCTCAAGTTCACCTAGGGCTCACTGCCCTGAGAAAGCTGCAGAAGACACTCACCGGATGCAGCTGCTCAATTTCAGTGTTCTGAGTCTCCAGAACCACAAACCCAAATAAACCTGTGCTCTTTGCCAATCATCCACCCTCATGTTCTGTTACACCAGTGGCCTAAAGCCTTGTTGCAGCTGACCTGTGAGTTCTGCGAGAACCTTCCATGATTTATAACTTCCCTCAGAGCTAGAATTTACTAGCAGAGTTACACACCACTAAGGGGGAGACTTGCCAGGTGCTGAGTACTGAACTATGGTGTATTTCAAACTTGCTATGTAAATGGAATATTCTAGGGTCGGGCATACCTTCCTCAGAAAGTATCTTGTTCCAAGCCAGACACAGTAGAACTGGCCTGTCAACCCAGCATTTACTGAGTGGAGGCAGAAGGACCATGAATTCAAAGCCAACCCGGGAGCCTGACAAATAGAGGCCGATGCTCGCAGCCAACCATTAGATTGAGCACAGAGTCTCCAATGGAGGAGTTAAAGAAAGGACTGAAGGAGTTGAAAAGAGTTTGCAACCCCATAGGAAGAACAACAATATCAACCAACCAGACCCCCCAGAGCTCCCAGGGACTAAACCACCAACCCAAGAGTACACATGGAGCAACCCAAGGCTCCAGCCACATATGTACCCGAGGATGGCCTTGTTGGGCATCAGTGGGAGGAGAGGCCCTTGGTCCTTTGAAGGCTTGATGCCCCAGTGTAGGGGAATGCCAGGGTGGGGAGGCGGAGTGGGTGGGTAGGGGAACATCCTCATAGAAGCAGGGGGAGGGGGAATGGGATAGGGCGTTTCCAGAGGGGAAATCGGAAAAGGGGATAACATTTGAAATGTAAATAAAGAAAATATCCAATAAAAGAAAAGAAAAAAAAAAGTAAGCAGGAGCTGGAAGACAGAATCATGTACTCCTCTTGCAGAGGACCAGAGTTTGGTTCTTTGCACACTGTAAGGTGCTCTAAGCCACCTGTAAACTCCAGCTCCAGGGATCTCTGCACTGTGTGACACCTGTACTCGGTAGGCATAGGTATAAGATGTGCCTATACTTACCTGTTTCACCATATACATATTAATTAAAACAAGGGAAATCTAAACAATAAAGAAAGCATTTCAGTATTGACTTGTCATGTCTGACCCTCAAGCCTGGATGACCTCGAGCTCCATTGTGGCTTCAAGGCCACCAGAAACCACATACCATCAAGATCACCGTGGGTCACAGGAGGGACCTGACTCTAGAGATTCTATTGCTGTGAGCATGATATAACCAAGCCGAGATGAATGCACGTAGGAAAGATGGTGACATACTTTAGTGTGTTGGTTTGTTGTGAATAAGCTGTTATTATTTCTCTGTAGAGATTTATATTACATCAGAAAGTGATCACACAAACGTCACATAGACGCATCATGCTTGCACTGTGCTAATATCTATTCATTTGTGGGCATATATGCAGCCTATTGTTAAAAAGCAGAAATAGATGAGTCTAGGTGGGTTGCAGTGAACCAACTGGCTATAAACCCAGCTCCTGGTTAATCACTGAAGTGTGTGCCTAGGGTCAATATAGGTTCACACTTTGAAGACAGTGTCAGAATTCACTGAGTCGACAAAGAAGACATATTTCGTGGGGTTACTTTCAAATTCTTTGTTTATTAAACTTAGTAGACATTAAGTTAGTACTTTCATTTTTTTAATAAACCCCCTCAAGTATGCACCATGACTTAAAATATAATCTAAATATAAAGCACTCTGGTATTCCATGCCTTCGTTATAATTTAACACCACACTGAATGCTACTGCTTCATAAAATTAAAGTGAATTCTTAAATACACGACTGACTCTTCTCCTGGGTCCTGGTCTCCATGTGTGCTTTCAGTTCCATCTAGGGTTTCTGTCTCTCCCCAACTTGCCTGCATGGGTCTCTGCGAGCAATAGCACTTGGTGTTTATAGCACCAGTTGCAGTAATACAAAGGAATAGGCGGCCATCCCCTCCTCCCTTCTAATGACTATGAAGCAGCTAACCCTGAATGAGATGGCTCTGGACCTTACAGCTGGGGCAGAGCCAAGGAAATACAGAGAGGAAGCGGAGGGAAGCCAGTAATTCTAGTAACAAGGTGACTCCTCAAAGACTCCATGGAGCACAGGGATGGCTCCTGGCAGAGTGGTTCATCTATAGATGAGTCCCACCCCAATCTCTTCTTATTCGTAAGTTACTGAAGCACTGGTGTTCAATTTCTGTGTATCAGGTGGCAGAGTGGATGTGCCCACCATAACCACAGTGTGAGCCAGGACACAGGGGGCTCACTTGGAGAAAACTCCACAGATCTCCTTGTCACTCGTGTGGCACTTAACATAATGAATCTCCCCCCTCCACTGCTGCTTCTGGCTGCCTGGAACAGGAGCTGCTCTGAATTTTCCAACTGGAGCAGTCTCTTCCGAGGGGTAAGCAGCAGGATGTACTCTGTAGCCACCAAACCAAGTATATGGCACACGTCTCTTCTCAACAATGAAAACCGGTACAAGTAAATGGAGTTTAAGTTACTTTGAAGCTTTACGGACACCCGTCTGCTCAGCATTTCTGAAAGTGTTGATCAGCATTAAGACTGGAACAAAGATTTAGCTGAACCTTACATCTTCTCTTATGTATACAACACCACCTCCGTAATACATGGGGTCTTGATGGCAGTCCCATGCCAACTCTGCACTGGGTTCCAGTGTAGAAAACCTGGAGTGTGGAAGGCATTCAGAGAGATAAAGAGAAGTAATGGCAGAGAAAGCTGCAGCTTGTCATTTGTATCTTTTAAGCTCAGTTCAGAAATACAGATGGGAGTTGGGGACAGAGAGAAGAAGGCAGCTGTCACCCTTGCTGCCCCTTGGCCCCTCCACCCCCCACCCCCACCCCCCGCAAACACACTAGCTCCAGCTCTCTGCAGACTTAAAGTGCAATCACTGCTATGACGTTTTCAGGCCACGGATCAGGCTGGAAGAAATTCAAAGCTGAAACTTCAAACACACTGCTCATGACTCAAGAGGCTGGAAGAGGGGAGAGAGGAGAGGCATTGGCAGATCTCAGGCATTCAAGTGCATCAAAAGAATCAATGTTCTTTCTCTGTGTGAAGAAAAGTCATACATGGTGAAGAGTCTTGGTTTAGAAAATGTCTTCTATCTGAAGACGCGCCAATGTGGCAGAGTCCAAAGGCTGACAAGGGCAGGAAGCAGCAGGGTCCCAGCTGTCCTCCCTGCTGCCCTGCCATACAGATGGGCTTGACTGTCTTCCAACAAGTCTTCAGCTCTCGGTGAGGAAGAGGCACACTGGACCAAGGGCATCTGGTAGGATGTGGCTCTCTTCTCGGGTCTGTCTGGGCTGGAGCCATCGCTGGGCCTCTGGCCATTGAACAGCAGGTAGCGGCCCCGGGCGTCTTGCTCCATTTTGAAGATCTCATACTCTGTGTGAGGTAGTTTGATGCCCAGAGCCACGCAGCCATTGGTGTGCGTCACATCCTGTTGGACACCCACCTGCCAGGAGCCCTCAGCCCCACACTCATTCCCACTGAAGACATTGAGGAGGGAGGCGGTGGCCGCATCCATGGGCGTGACCTTCATGTGATTCACTGTGGAGAAGAGAGATATCCATGACTCTAGGGACACAACTTAGGAGGCAGACACTTCTGGCAAATGCTAGGGATGCTATTTCAACACAGCTTTCACTTTAAAACACAATCCAATCTGGCTGACCACAGAGATCACAAATGTCAGCCTGGGTGGGAGGTTCCATATGCTGATTTGAATGGTGGTCATACCAAATATAGGCAATCAGCTCATAGTGTCATGAACTCTGCAGCTACCATTTAACTACACGGCCCTGCGATGACTACATTAAGTACCAGAAGTAATGTAGAAAAGGTGTCAAGTATAAGAAGATACGCACAGGGTTTGTGCAAGTGTATTCATTTCACAGAAGGGACTAAAGCAACTTTGGGTTTTGGTATCTTCAGGGAGTCCTAAAATCAATTCCCTATGAATGTAAAGTCATGACAGTATACTGTAGGTATGGCCAGAAAACAGTGAGATTTAAATGCTGAGCCCAGTTTGGAGATGATCACACATGTGAGGGTGAAATACAACTATCCCAGAATTCCTCAAGAGCTAAAAGCGCTCTTTAGGGTTACACAATGACCCCGCTACCCTCTTTATTTGGTATTACTCCCCAGGATTAAAAAAAAACATATTTAACAAAACTCAAATGTTAGTTTTATGAAAAGATTTTGAAGTATCTGAGAAGTTTCACATCAACCACATATCTGAATCACTGAGTTCACAGATTAATATGGGCTCGTCCGTCAGGGATCTAAATGCAGTTAGGCTGCAGACAACAAGAATGAGAATAAATAAATACAAGTCCCAGCCCACACAGACCCTTGGGGTCCTCCTAAGGACGAGCTTTGTATATGGGTGCAGTGGGATTTTTAGTGAGCAGACAAGGCCAGTGTACAAGAGCTAAATTCCTCCATCAAAGGAGGCTCAGGGCTTCGCTAAGGCAACACAGACATCTCACAATCATTGGACTACGGTGCTACTCAGAAGGGGTTACCCAAGGACCCAGCTACCCACTTTATTTGGTATTACAAACTGATACCACCTTTCAGGCATTCAAACTTAAAACTAAAGCAGAAAGCCCTCCCTTGGGGTCAGGGCACGTGCCTCCTAACCCCAGCTTCCTTGCTGGGGGGAGCAGTGCAGAGTGAACTTTCCCCACGATGCTTGCACCTTCTAGCCTGGGACAGGTTCTCATATGCAGCCTCAGCTCAGACTAGAAGTGACAGCTCTGAGTATCAAGAAGTAACTGACATCTGCTCCATATTCCTCATTTAGCAAAGGTACTGAGCAAGCAAACAGGCCTGATGCTACCCGACAGGCGGCTGATTTCATTGCAGGAACATTCCTGACTCTCACAGCACAGTGGCTCATGTGATGCTTTGGGTTCCATTGTACCTGACTGTCGTGTGGAGGCCTGGTACTAGCCTGCCCTAGGCAGGAAGGAGGTCAGATGGTATTTTCAAGGATGCTTTAAGGCAGACCTGGCTCTAACGTCATCCCTAGATCTCAAGCAGCAAAGATACCCTTTCTCTTAGGTTCTGCCCCAGCAGAAACGTGCTAAGCAGTGCAGTGAGACGTGAACCAGCAGACTTACCTTTGAACACAAACTCTGTGCCACCCATGACCCTAGAGGAGAGCACGCCGCGGCTGTAGCGGCCTCGAGCATAGATGGTAAACGTGGGATGCTTGCAGACGGGGTCTGAGTAGTGGTAGTAATGTCCTTCCCAGGTGTTGTTGTTGTCGTGGAAGATGAAGTGGCGGGTGAGGAAGAGGACCTCGGGGCGTACCTCACAGCGCTGGCTCACCCATTCCCCATGGAGGCCAATGGTCAGGTCAGCCTTGGGGGGCAGGATGGGAGGGTGGTGTTCATCGGACCGGTAAATGATGCGGCAGGCTATGCACGCATGGTTGTGGTTCTGAAACAAAGAAATGAAGAAAGACATTTAGAGACTTTAGTCTTCTCATGAGCTCAGTGTGCATGTGTATCCCTGAAAATGGGGGCAGGGGACAGGTTCACCACGGTTAGGATTGGGTACTTGGGTGATCATTATTTATCAGAAACCCCAAAAGAAATGGAGCCAGGATCTGGTGCTCAGGGAGTAAAGCACGGTGTGTATATTCACACAAGTGCACATGGCTCTAACAGGACAGCCTGCCTAATGTCAGAGATGGCATGGGCCCTTTAGAATCCTGTTGAGGTTTCAGATCATCACAAACCCAGTGGACATGTGTGGGTGAGGCTGAGGAGAAATCCCAATCCTTTGGTCCTGTTGGTGGGGATGTAAAATGATACAGCCTTTGTGGACAAGAGTGAGATGGTTTCTCAAAACCTCATAGAATTACTATACCATCCAGCTATTACCCTCCTGAATACATGTCCAGAAGAACCCAAAGCAAGAGCACTGGCCCACAGTAGCCAAAAGGAAAGCAATCCAACTGCACAGCCACAAATGAACAGCGAAGCACATGTTCTGCATGTGCGATGGCAGAGAACTTAACTTTAAAAGGCAGGATGTTCTGCACAAGTTACAACACAGATGGACCTCGAGGACACTGAGCTAAATGAAATACGCCAGTCATGCACGCACATACATTGTTTGATTCTATTTATTTGAGAGACCTTTAATGGTGAAATCCAGAGACAGGAGGTGGGAAGGCGACTTTGAGGGATGAGACGGGAGGTAGAGACAGAGAACCCAGGTAACAGGCAGAACTTCAGTTTCACTGGGTGAGATTTCTAGATATGAACAGAAGTGAAAGCTGTTTGACATTATGCCCTTAAGTGGGTATAATGAAACAGATTTATGGGTGTATTTTAGCACAATTACATTTTTCAAGGGAGAAACTGCTAAGCATACAAAGGAAAACACAGAGCTGTGACAACAGATGACAGGAATCACAGGGTCCCCTTGAGAAAGTGAATGCAGGAGGTAGAGAAGCCACAGAGAAGGGAATGGGGGACCTCTGGGGCATGGGCACACCTATCCATGGGTGTCTAGAGGTCAAGGTTCACAGCTCCTTAGCTCTTGGAATGCTTGCTTTCCCAACTTTATGCAGCTTCAGGTCCATAGTAAAGCTGTCCTCTCATTTCCAGGAGCATTTTAGTTGGTGCCCATAGGGCAGATGTCAGCTCTGACTAACCTGCTTGCCCGGAGGCTTCAGAGCTGGCAACCAAAACCTGACTGTAAGTCAGGAGGACTGGTCCTGGGCACAGCAGCATGATTATTGCCACCTCATCCAGCCCACAGGACAACTCTTAACCCAATGGTTTTCTCTACTCTCTTACTCCCTCAAAGTTTGTATGAGGCTCAAGGGGTGAGCAGAGTTGGATCATAGCCTTTAGTCTCTGCCTCCTAATCGGGAGGCAGAGCTCACTGGGACTCCCAGCTCCTGTGTATTCAGACCTACAACCACACCTTCACCCCTCCGAGAGAGGGACACACTTGTGCTCAGCATTTTTTCCTGAAGTCAAAACTTCACCTCCTTCTCCAAGGTAGGGTGGTAGCCTTCATAAATGTGATTTGGCAATGGTGACAAGTTTGCCTTACTGGAAGCCTGTGGTAAGGGTGGGAGGGGCTCTTCCACACCCCCCTTAAGTGAGATCTCTGTACTCACATGACCCTCTTCATCCACTGGATGAGCTTAGTTACAGTTTATAGTAGAGAGCACTTCCTTTGTGCCCATGATGTGTGGCTTGCAGATGAGAGAGAATACTTTGGGTTTAGTGTTAAAGGGTGGCAGGGGCAAGACTTCCCTCTCTCAGGGTCCAGGTTCATTTGCTGGCCTCGGATTCCTGCAGAGGGCTTTGGGGGAAGGGAAGAATATAAACCATTCTCTAGCCTGTTATCAGCAGACCACAGGGTGATATAGGACCCAGGGAGATAACAAGTAAACAGCCCACTGAAAGCAGAGCTGAAACAGAGTGGATGAGAATATCTCTGGGCAGATCCTGAAGGCCTGAGGCAGTCCTGCTGCCTATCTCACAGCTGGAGTGGCCACAGACAAGTTACTCATCTCTCTGTATTTTGACTTCCTCACTTACACCACGGTGACTCTTGGACACGCTTGCATAACTGAGGCAGGAGAGAAATGGCAGAGCAAGATGGTTCCCACTGACTGTCCCCTCTTGAGTAGACTAAAACAATGGTCATGGTCCTTTGGGTTCATGGTAGGAAGGAAAGTTCACACCAAAGTAAAAGTGAACCCAGAGTCCTGAGCTCTGACACACTATGTCCTCCCAGTAAGCTGCCAGGAGGTGAAGACTCCAAAGCTTTTGCCCTAAACGGGTTGTTCTGATATTTAAAGGCTAGGATGGGGAATTAGGCTTGTGTCTGTAACATGTATACTCTGGGGCTCCTGCAAAGAGCAGAGCATGTCAGATTATTACCACAAACAGCATGGAGCCTCTTCACCAAGCCACCAAGGCACTGGACAACTGTGACAGTCTAAAGTTCCTGTAGGTGGCTTGCCACATTCCAGATGAGGTATCAGAAGTTGATGTTCAGTTGGGATCAGAAATATAGATCCACAGGATCTCCAGTGTTCCAGAGCTGGGTCCCTTCCTGCTGGAATCTGAACAGCAAAGATGCTTGCTGCCTACTGCATCTGATTTCCAGAAGGTCTTACAAGGTTCTGTAGGCTGAATAACTTACTTTCACCCATCTCTACCTCCACTTCTTATCCATCCCACCATCTACAACTACATTTTCTATATCCGATGATAGTTTAGGATCATCCACTGTGCCACCTTCATTTCTGGCCTTTCTAGGGAGTTAAGTCTCAATCCCTGAAAAGATTTGTTTTCCCCTTCTGTACCAGTATTGGTTCAGGGACAGCTTAGTGCTGATGGAACGACACTGAAAATCAATACTGTTCAGTTCAACAGGAAAAGGTTGTGTGGGGGGAGGGTCCAGCTGTCACCCAGGCTACACCACAATGGCATCAGGACTGGTAGGTTGATGTTCATGAATAGCATTTCTTTAAGAACAGCAGGCAGGGGTCCTGGGCTCCAAGAGGATTCTTTTGGCCTGTGGTTCCCACAGATGAACTGTGCTCTCAAGATAAAGGTTTTCCATTGGTCAGAAATCAAAGGTAGGCCAGGCACGGTTGGACCAGTGGGCCTGTGGGATGTGGGTTCATGTGCGGAGGCCAGGAGGAACCTGGCTCTTAAGCATTAGTACTACCAAGCTCTGACTCTGGTTATTTTTGTTTTATTGTTATTAAAAGGTTGTAGAACTCATCACCCTAATAATTTTTAAGTGTACCACTCTGTGGCATTAAGTATAGTCACATGGTTAGGTAGCAATCGCACTGTCTATCTCTAGAGCCTTGTCATCTTCCCTAACTGAAATGATTCTCCATTCCTCCCTCCTCATGCCACTGGTAACCACCTCTGTACCTTCTGTCTTTGAACATAACAAGACTAAGGAACTATAAGAGATAACTAAGGACCTCCTATAAGGAGACTCATACAGTATCTGCAATTTTGTGACTGGCCAGAGTTGTTAGCAAATGTATTCTAGGTTCTCCCATGTTAAAGTATGTATCAGAACATCCTTTCCTTTTTAAAACCTAATCATTCCAATGAAGGGATACATTTTGCTTATCTGCTCCTAGACATTTAGCCTGCTTCTCCTCTGTCACTGTTGTGAATGATGCCACGAACATGATTGCGTGGGTATGTATTTGCATTTCTTCTTCAATCATTTTGAGTATATACCTAAATGTAAAATAGCTATACCATATGGCAATGCAATGTTTGCATTTTCGAGGGAGAAGCCTGTGTTCCCCAGTAGTTGTACCAATTTAACATCTCTATCAGCAAACTACAAGAGTTCCAATCCCCCTCTTCCTTGCCAAGATTTATTTTCCCCTTTTTCCTCCTTTGGTAACAGCTGTCCCAATGGGCAACTTCCTATTGTGGTTTAAATTTATCCTTCCATAACGATTTGATAAACAGCATATCTGTCACTTGTAAAATTCTTCAGAGGAGGGTCTGTTTTGCCCACATCCCCATCCCCTTTGAAGCAGTTTTCCAGTTACCATTAAGCAACCAAAGATGTCATAAGCAGAGGCAGAGATTTTGGCCTCAGTGGATGAAGTCAAGAAGGTGACAATTTTAGTCATGGGAGTGTGTAAGGAGAAGTTTCTGTGTGTGAATTAAGTTTTAAAATTGCTTTCTTAAGTTCTTATGCTCTTTGGTGTGAACAAAAATTAAAGGGACCCCCGCAATAGCGTCACAGTAGCAGAGAATGAAGCCTACACGGCGTATTGCTCTACAGCTCCTTCTCTAGGGTGCTTTAATGAGAGAGCCTTTGCAGATCGGCAGAGGAGAACTCCATATGCAGATTGTTCACGTGGAAGAGGATTTGCACCACCAGATAGCATTGGCTTTATAGAATTAGTTTTACTAAAAATTAAAACCTTCTGATGTAAGATTCCCACTTGAGAAATGCACTTTCCTAGGCTTGTCAACTTGGCTCTACACCCCTTCATTTCCCTCCATGTTAGAAAGGACTACCTATTTAAAGTCAGGGCTTCTGCATACACAGGGTTTGAAGATTAAAATGGGGGGGGGCAGTATACCTATCTTTGCTGCTGTTCTTTACACCCACTATAAAACTCTAATCTAGGGACTTGGGGTGCTATGGAGAGTGCTCATTTGGCATGTAAATGACTCTGGGTTCCATGCATAGCACCAGAGGTTGAAGGAAGACTTAATTCAAGAGGGTTAGAGCTAGAAATAAGCCCCATATAAGTGTTCTCTGAAAAGAAGAACTCGTGTTAAAAATGGAGATCCACCCTGCAGTTCCCAAGTACACAGCATTGCGGGCAGGGATCTGGGTTTGCTTTTCCACACATTGCTCCTGGGCAGCAGGATCAAGAACTGCAGCCTGTGCATAAGGATATGGGATTC